AATCTTAGTAAGTCTAGATATATGCATACCAAGACACAGAGAGATAATGTGAAAATGTAAGATTTAAAAATGGACAGACAGTATCTAGATCTCAAAGGTGTAGTTAATATCTAAATAGACTTGGGTATCAGACTCTGAATAGAAACTGTCTGCAATTGTGGTTTTCTACTGTTGCAATTTGTCAAGAGTACTCTGTTACAGTTAATCAAGCTTTGCAAATAGAAAACGTCTGCTGCCGTAGTTTCTGAAAACTACTTTGTTGCAAATTGGTCATAAACGAAATTTAACACTCAAGTAGTATGACACCACAAAAATATTGTCTAATTTGACTATTAGATATAGGCTGCAGTTAGGTGTTCACAAGTATAATGTGAAGAGAAATAAATATGTAAGATAGCACCTTCTGGGAGTAATCCGTTATATAGAACCCCAAAGTAGATATAGTTAGAAGGTAAAGGTATATCTGTGCCTTCAAGGGCACCTGACAGACAGAAGAACTAACTGCAAGTAATAAGGAAAGAAAGAGAAAGAAAGAAATATGTCTATAACTGTGCCTTCAAGGGCACCTCTCTTGTAGATATAGCAAATAATAAAGCTAACTGGCTAGCATCTAGATATCTAAAGCCTTACTCGATATCCTTTAATATGTCTAGTGTCAATACCCTACGAGCGTTATAGCCTCAAATAATATGAGCGGCTAAATCCTTAATTTCCCTCCAGACATGCCCAAGATCTACGTAACTCTTAACTGAGATATAGATTATAAAAGAATCATCTCTGCAAGTGCAGAAGGTTTAGTGTTAGGAGGGATGGAAAAAAACCCTGACGCGCGTTTCGCCAGTAAGACGGCTTTTCAAGGGGAACTTGGTCATAGCCGGTTAGGCTTTTAATTAGGGCGCCCAAAGATTTGATTGGAGTCCCGAAAATGTTAGCGTCATCAATTGTGGCTGACGTAAGACAGTGGTCGGAGAAGACCATTTTACTTTATTCAAAGTTGAATTGTGAGTTTGTATGTTTGTATATTAGAACAGGAGATACAAGGGGTTGGGGGAAAAATGATATGGATTTAATGCAATCATACATAAAGTATAAATATATCGCAATTGTTATGCTCGTCCCTTAAGTGCCCAATAGGTATATTATTAGTATGGATTGATGAAATATGAATACATGTGTATTTTTATATTAGGCAGATGCCATATAAGGAGCTAGTCACTCTGCCCCTCAATAGACTTAACAGAGTGACTAGCTCCTTATATGGCATCTGCCTAATATAAAAATACACATGTATTCATATTACATCAATCCATACTAATAATATACCTATTGGGCACTTAAGGGACGAGCATAAGAATTGCGATATATTTATACTTTATGTATGATTGCATTAAATCCATATCATTTTTCCCCCAACCCCTTGTATTAGATCCAATAGAACAATACAACCCCTTGTATTAGATCCAATAGAACAATTAAGTTATATTTTATATATGGCTCATATACAATTCTAAAAGGGAATACATATCTTAAAGGTACAGAATTGCACATTAAAAGATTGAAAATAATTTTGTGCAGATATATGCTGTATTTAACGTATAGTATGAGAGTTTATTTTTAAATGGTAAGTATGGTGCCTATTTGATCTATTTAATTTTATAAATGAAACAGAAAAATATCCTGAGAAGTATGAAGTGCGGAACGGGTGCTGCTTAGAGATACAGCGGGGGGCGCTATAGGTGATTATCTCTATATTATCTTGTAGTTCAAAGTGATAACTTATAGGTAATTTGGAAAATGTCAAAGTTAGTATGGGTTATTAATCTAAAGGTATCATTATGTACATATAATTAGATGTAATAGGAAAGTGCCAAGAAAAATCAAAGAAAGGAGAAAGTTGTTGTCATGTCTTGAAAAATAGATTCAAAGATGTATGTTTAGTGTATAAACGGTGTGTAGTTGAATTCCTCGTTAAGTCCCTGTGGCGTAAGGGTCCTAAATGAGTATATCCATTTGGATTCTTTTTGGAGTAGTTGTTGATTGAAGTTCCCTTTTCTAGGGTTAAATGTCAGTTTCTCAATAGCCTGAAACCTTAGGTTATCGATATTGCCATGGTGGAAATTCATGATATGTCTTGCTACAGGTGTAGGGTTTATAGTGTTTTTTATTGAATTACCGTATATACTCGAGTATAAGCCGAGTTTTTCAGCACATTTTTTGTGCTGAAAAACCCCAACTCGGCTTATACTCGAGTCACTGTCTGTATTATAGCAATTTACATTGCCATAATACAGACTGGGGGCTGGCAGCGAGCGCTTACCTCTCCTGCAGCTCCTGTCAGCTCTCTCCTCCGCGCCGGTCCGGTCAGCTCCCAGTGTAAGTCTCGCGAGAGCCACGGGGTCATAGTGCGGCTCTCGCAAGACTTACAGTGTAAGCTGAGAGAGGAGCTGCACGGACCGGCGCGGAGGAGGAGAGAGCTGACAGGAGCTGCAGGAGAGGTAAGTAACAGCTCTGCCAGCCCCCATCCTCCCCCCACTGAACTGCCAATGCCACTGGACCACCAGGGAAGGAGAGCCCCCCTCCCTGCCATGTATCAAGCAGGGAGGGGGGACAACAAAATAAATAAATTAAATATAAATAATTAATAATAAAAAATAATAAAAAATAAATAATAATATAACAAAAAAAATGTAAAATAATAATACATTTTTTTTTATAAAAATGCCCACCCCCCACCAAAGCTCTGCAACACAAACACACACTGCATTCATATACACACACTGCACTCATATACACACACACTGTAAATAAATATTCAATTAATATCATTTTTTTAGGATCTAATTTTATTTAGAAATTTACCAGTAGTTGCTGCATTTCCCACCCTAGTCTTATACTCGAGTCAATACATTTTCCCAGGTTTTTGGGGTAAAATTAGGGGCCTCGGCTTATATTCGGGTCGGCTTATACTAGAGTATATACGGTAATGTGTTGAAGGATCCTTCGACGAAAGGGTTGGATGGTCTTTCCAATGTATTGGATGCCATATTTGCATGTGATCAGGTACACCAAGCGAGTAGTGCTACAGTTGACCAGAGCGTTCGTTTTCATGGTAATTTTGGATTGTGTAGACGTTGTTGATTGAGAGGGAGTAATGAACTGGCAAGCTTTGCAATGGCCACACCTGTACGTTCCCTTAGTGTTTGTAAGCCAATTAGGTTCTGCTGGAGTAGGGGCCAAAAAGCTATGGACTAGAAGATCTTTAAGATTCTTAGATCTTTGAGCAGTAATGGATGGATAGCTAGGCAATGATTTTTTCAAAGTAGAATTATGCAGAAGAATAGGCCAATGGTTGGAAAATGTCTGTGTAATTTTTTCCCAACCGCTGTCAAAAGTGGCAATGCATCTTGGGGTCGAGGGGCTTGATTCTGGACGTGTAGTCTTTAAGCTCTCCAGTCTGTTTGTCTCGCTAGCACGTTGATATGCTTTCTTGAGAACTTTATTAGGATACCCCAAAGCTTTGAAACGAAGTTTCAAGGATTGACATTCTTGATAGTAAACTGAATCTTCAGAACAGTTCCTCCTTGCTATTAGGTATTGTCCATAAGGGATGGAGGCCTTCAACCTATAAGGGTGGTGGCTCTCCCAATGGAGGAGACTATTAGTTGAGGTCAACTTTCTGAAGAGTTCAGTTCGAATAGTACCATCCTCCATTAGAAGGATCTTTAGGTCAAGAAAAATCAATTCTTTGTCATCAATAACATGGGTAAGTGTTAAATTTATTTTATTGTTGTTCAAAACTGACAAATTCTTCAAAAGTTTGTACCGGGCCGGTCCAAAATATTAACATGTCATCGATGTATCTGTACCACTTAAAGATGTACTTGTGGTACAGACTTGTGGTACGTACCCATAGCAGTCCCGGTCTCTTGCAGATAGCATTTGCCATTGAATATTAGATAATTATGGATCAGAATGAATTCCAATAGGGACATGATGAAGGAAATCTGTGCCTCCTCATATGAAGCTGTTTCTAGAAATGAGCGACATGCTTGTATACCTGCTTTATGCGGGATGTTACTGTACAACGTCTAGGCTTGCTAATAAAGTATATGGTGGTACTTGAAGCCCTTCTAAGATCAGTAAAGTGGACTTTGTGTCCTGTATATAAGAGGGTAGGTCCGTGATGTACGGATGTAGGATTTCATTGACAAACTTGCTGGCTCTTTCAGTCAGGCAGTTGTTGCCTGAGATGATTGGTCTCCCAGGGGGGGTTGTGACGCTTTTATGCACTTTTGGTAGGCAATATAAGGTGGCTACAGTTGGATGTTTATGTGGTAGTAAATATTTGAACTCCTCCATGTTGATAATTTTTTGTTCCAACGCTATGGTGAGTAAGGCTTCAAAATCTTTAATATACATCTCTGTGGGATCAGAGGGAAGAACACTGTAGTTGGATACATCACTGAGATGTGCCATGCACATATCAATGTACATGTCTCGATTTAATAAGACAATGTTACCACCTTTGTCAGCTGGTTTTATGATAACATTATCTAATGATTTTAATTCTTTGACAGCTTTACGTTCATTGATGGTCAGGTTGTTATTTAATGGACGTTCAAGGTGCATTTTTGCCAGATCGCTGGTTGTCATTTCGACAAAAAAATCCACATGTGGAGTGTCCTTCAGGTTGGGGGTAAACCAACTTTGGGGCTTTAGTTTTGTCAGGGGTTTAGAGGGGTTCTGTTCCTAAAGTAATTCTGTCAGTACTTTGGAGAGCTCAAAATCCTCCAAGCTTAATCCCAAATAATTTGCCATTAGTAGATCCCTTTTGGAGTGCATAAGATTTAATGCTAATTTCCTACCAAACAGGTTTATATCCTTTGACCAATCAAACTTGTTGTTCCCAGGAGTGGGTACATATGTAAGGCCTTTATTTAAGAGGGAAATGTGGCGTGGTTGTAATGGGAAATTGGACAGATTAATGATTTTGTTAGATATTAGAATCTCTGACCCCGTCCTTGTTTCTTGTAAGCCCAGCGATCCCTGTCCCTCAGGCGCCCCCTCTGTTCTCGAGGGAGATCCTGTCCTAAAAAAAATAAATAAATAAAAAAGTCTTGGAGGCAGTTGAGTTTGTACTGTCAGAGGTAATTGGGGCATCTAAGAATGCAACTGATTTATCAGTGCTCTTCAGAATGCCCCTCGTGGGTGAATGATTTTGGACTGGATCGTTATTCCGCGTGTTCCTGTTATATTGCCTTTGTCTAGACTTAGAGGGACCTGTATCTGAATCCGACCATTCGGTATTCGCAGATGTGGAACCTCTCTGGCTACTAGTATATTTACGAAATTTACGTTTTTTGCAAAAGATTTCGCCCTCCTTGAAATCATTGAAATCTCTTTGGAATTTGGTGTGTTTCTTTATTTTTATATTTTGTCTGAAATGTTCAATGTTTTTTTGCAATTTCGTTTCCATAGGTGAAAAGAGATTATCTGTCTTGAACCTTTTTATTTGTGCGATCTCATTTTGTAATTTAGTGTTAGTTTCCTCTAGGTGTGTGGTTTCTAATTTCACCAGGAAAAATCATTAATTTAGCAGAACAGTCCAGTAGAATAGCATTCCCCTTGAAAAGCCGCCTTACCGGCGAAATGCGCGTCGGGTTTTTTTCGATCCCTCCTTACATTAAACCTTCTGCCACTTGCAGAGATAATTATTTTATAATCTATACCTCGGTTAAGAGTTACGTAGATCTTGGGCATGTCGGGAGGGAAATTAAGGATTTAGCCGCTCATATTATTTGAGGCTATAACGCTCGTAGGGTATTGACGCTAGACATATTAAAGGATATCGAGTAAGGCTTTAGATATCTAGATGCTAGCCAGTTAGCTTTATTATTTGCTATATCTACAAGAGAGGTGCCCTTGAAGGCACAGTTATTTATTGAGGATATAGACATATTTATTTCTTTCTCCTCTTTCTTTCCTTATTACTTGCAGTTAGTTCTTCTGTCTGTCAGGTGCCCTTGAAGGCACAGATATACCTTTACCTTCTAACTATATCTACTTTGGGGTTCTATGTAACGGATTACTCCCAGAAGGTGCTATCTTACATATTTATTTCTCTTCACATTATACTTGTGAACACCTAACTGCAGCCTATATCTAATAGTCAAATTAGACAATATTTTTGTGGTGTCATACTACTTGAGTGTTAAATTTCGTTTATGACCAATTTGCAACAAAGTAGTTTTCAGAAACTACGGCAGCAGACGTTTTCTATTTGCAAAGCTTGATTAACTGTAACAGAGTACTCTTGACAAATTGCAACAGTAGAAAACCACAATTGCAGACAGTTTCTATTCAGAGTCTGATACCCAAGTCTATTTAGATATTAACTACACCTTTGAGATCTAGATACTGTCTGTCCATTTTTAAATCTTACATTTTCACATTATCTCTCTGTGTCTTGGTATGCATATATCTAGACTTACTAAGATTAAATGTGTGAAATGATCACTTTGTATTTTTTTCACTATTAAAAGTAAAATTTTAGACTATATCTTTTAGGTAGTGTTCTTTCTTCCTCTTTTCAATCATACTTGTCTGTCCGCACCTCCCATGCCTCCCCCCTTTGTCAGTCCCTGCATTGGCTTCCTGTAAGATATAGGGCTCAATTTAAAATTCTGGTTCTTGCTTTCAAATCTCTACATAATGCTACTCCCACCTATCTATCCTCCCTAATACATAAGTATGTCCCGTCAAGGCCTCTACGCTCTGCCGAAGACCTTAGTCTCTCCTCTGTTCGTACTCCCACCTCTGATGCTCGCATTCAAGATTTCTCTAGATATGCACAGTTCCAATGGAACTACCGTCCCTTCTCCGTTAGATGCTCACCCAGTCTCCACTCCTTCATAAAATCCTTAAAAACTCACTTGTTCACAAAAGCATATCAATTAAACTGTTAATGGCTCCAAGAAGATCCACACTAAGTCTTCATTGAGTACTATTCTACCAATCTACTTCCCTAATACTTCCCTTACCTTTTGTGTCACCTTGCCCCACTCCCTCTGGCATGTATTGAGCAGAGCCCTCAACCCCTCTGTTTCTGTGCGTCAAACTTGTCTGGTTACAATTACGTTTGTTAGTCCATCCATTGTAAAGTGCTACGAAATTTGTTGGCCCTATATAAATATAATAATAATCTAAAGAAAAAAATAATATTATTGGGTTGTCAAAAGGAGATGAGCCATTTGCCAGTGAGCCAGGAAAGGCATAGCCAAAGCTTCACCAGGATCAGTTCACATGACCACTTTGAGAAAACTAGTTCAGAAATGGATAGATTGGGTTTGTTTCTAATGAAATCAATGGACTTGAACTTCAGCAGCAAAGAATTACATTAAGTCTGATTACAGGAAATGCACATAAATCTCAAGGCAGTTGTGATATTCTAATTATAAAAATCCATGTTTGTGTTTGATGGTTAAAAGAACTGCAAATTATGTTTAACATTAGAATTCTTAAAAGAACACTATAAGCAAAGCAGTATAGCAAATGCAGTTTCTGCAACCTACCCAAATCAAGAAGACGGTCCCCAGGACGGTTCCACCTCCAACCCTCTAATTGCTGATGCTCCATATATTGCAGCCTTCGGTCGTGAAATACAACTCTTATAATACTCTAAAAGAGAAAAACATAAAAATGCCTTACTCAGAAAAAGGTCATTAACAGGAATTAAATGCTTCAAATGGTTTGTCTTATTTTTTTAAATTTCTTTATTTATATAATAGCATTCCAGCTTAGTCATGGCCATAGTAACATTCAAAGTTCAACAGTTTGTAGTACATCAATCATGAAATACATTGTGACACAATAAATGGTAAATAGCTTTACAGAATTTTAACAGTGGATACCATATTGCACTTTTGGCTTGCGAGGGTTGCCGAGAGAGCGTTCAGCAATATTTAGCTTTATCGTTGCCATTTTCCGCCTTCCGTTAGGTTTTATTTTAGTTTAACATGAGAGGAAAGAGAATAGTGTAAAGTAAGAGAGTGAAGTAAAGAAAAACTAAAGAGAAAAGACTAGTCGGTCTCCAGGAAAGCTGTGTCCAGGATCTGACATATCGTAAGTAGTGAGTCAATTTAAGCTATGATCCTGTACCATAGCCTTGAAAATTGTAATTTTATACAATATAAAACACAATTGAAAAAAAATTAAATTTAAGTGAAGTTACACTATAGGATCCAAAAAACTAAACCAAGTATAATATAACTTCCAACAAGCCAAACTCATTGGCAGGGCAATGATATCTAAACAGAGAGCAGGTAGATTACCTAAATCTGTATCTTAAAAAAATATTTGAATGTGAATCTCTTTCACAGTTGGTGTAAAAATAAATTTAAAAAACTATATATCTGCAAGACTAAATGGCTTCAGGATACATCACAGATATTTATCATCAGCAAACTATTGTAATGTTCCCTAACATTTCTGGCCGTGATCCTGCTTCCAGTCTCTACTCCTGCCGCTGTAGCTCAGTTTCCTGACATGGCTTGTATACCCTTTTTTTTTTTTCCTGATTTCTGGCTCCCTCGACCCTGGCTTGTTCTGGACTATTCTCTAGCTGTCTAAGGTAGAGTCCAGCCACTCTAAGATCCGTTATACGTTTTTATATTACATCCTGCACGTTGGGTCTCTGTCATGATCCTCATCATGCCATATTTGGACTTTTGTTCTTGGGTCTGGCTGGGATTGAACACATGTTCCTGGTTTCCAGATTAAGTGGCTATTATCCACCCATTTAAACCCTGCCTTGCTTGAGCCTCATTGTCAGACCGTTTTGTTCTGCTTTGTGGAAACTCGCTACTCGTCTCACTCCTGGTTTAAATCTTTGCCCGTCTTCTGTTTCTGCCTGTTTGCCGCCTGTCCTGACTGTTGATTCGAGCACGACTACTCTTTTTGGATTATCCTTGCCTATACTACGTTTCTGAAAGCACTGTGTACAGCCCCAGTGCACTTCACAACCTTGGAGATGTCTATCTAGAGTCTCCATGGTTTGTGTCAAATTGCAAAGGGGGCATGTCGGACTTCCGTCCATCTGTGTGAGGTCGGGTGCGGTCACATGGAGTAGAAGCTTGCAATCTAGCTCGGCGAGGCTGAGGCTGAAAAGAAGCAGGAACTTTGCATAGAAAACGGAACAGACTTGGAGTAGTGTGAAGATATGGTGATATAATAGTGGAATTAATCAAAAGAGAGGCTTGAGCTGTAGCTTGTGAAAAACCGCTTGCATAATTGAGAACGGAGAAAAGTGAGCAGCAGACAGGAAGCACGCTGAGCGGCAGTCGGGCTGTGAAGCTGGGCTGTGCACCTGTGTGTAACAGGCTGAGAGGAAGCTGAGCATTAGCTGTGAAATAAAAAAAAAAAAAAAAAAAATTCTACAAGTTATATGTCCGAAGTTATATGCCTTAAGCTCTAAGAAAAGCCTTTAAAAAAAAGCTTTAAAAAAATGGAACAGGAGCAGTGAGGCAGCAGCTTTCAATTGGAACAGTGAAACTGCAAGCAGTGCTGTACGGTGTCAGCAGCAGGTGAGGAATAATATTATAAACCTCTGAAATTCATTAAGCCTTTGATAAAGCCCTGTGCACTCAGTGTATTCAGCATATAACAGCAGTGTATCAGAAGGAATAACAAATGTTACAAACTGTTACAAGCTGTCACAAAGTGTATAACAGAATTTAATAGTGCATAAAAGCAGTCACAGAAAAGTAACTGTTACAGTGTTTAGGTTGTACTGAGGCTGTTTTAAGTAATTAACCCAGTGAGATCTGGAAAGCAAGTTAAGCTGGTAAAGTTGGAAAAAATCTAAAAGTTTCATACGAGGAGGTATAAATGGCACCAGCTAAACAAATTAAACAGGTACGGTCAGACTAAGCAAGAGACCGTAATAAGCAGGACCAAGATGGTGCAACTGCCTACTCACATGAGGAGGAGACTATAGAAGCAATTATAGAGGAAGAAGAGCTATTGGAACAACCGGTCTCTGAAAGGAAGCTACATGAGATGTTACAAAACTTAAGAATTACATTGCAAGAAGATTTAAAAAAAAATTATTTCAGACATACATAAAGAAGTGGTGGAATTGGGTGAGCGCACAGGGCAATTGGAGGTTAAAACAGAAAATTAGTGTACCTCTCATAATGCACGGATTGACAAAATACAAAACATGGAGGATGAACATAAGCAGTTAAAATATAAAATGGCTGTGATTGAAGATCAGTCACGTCGCAGCAATGTACGTTTAAGAGGAATAGCGGAGTCAGTGTGAAGGAACTGTCAGAATATATTAAAGGCCTATATGGGAAAATTGTAAATAATTGTGAGGAATCTGCATGGGAGCTGTATCGTGTGCATCGCCTACCAAAACCTCAGTACCTTTCAGTAGATAAACCACGGGATGTAATAGCGAAATTCCATTATCCAAAATCTAAAGAGTTGCTGCTGCAGTCAGCAAGAAAGGAGCCTAGCCTCCCTGCTCCTTACAAAGATGTACTGATTTTTGCTGATCTGTCCGTATTAACTATAGCAAGGAGAAGAGAATTTGCGGAGTTCACAAAAGTATTGAGACCCCAAAAAATATCATACCGTTGGGGCTACCCGACTAAACTGTTGATTTGGCGGAACGGAGCATTACATGTAATAAAAGAACCAGAAGAAGCGAGGAACAAATTAAAAGAATGGGAAATGTTAACAACACAGAATGGGAATTCAAATAAAGCAGAAAAGAAAATACAAGCAAAATGGACGGTTGCTGGCACACCTGGTTATAAAAGCTTAGATGTTGCAGAAACTGTAAAGTGGCTTTAAAATTTTTTATTATTTTAATAAATTTTAAATTTTCTTTTTTGGAATAGATATCTATGATCTCACTTTACTTTAATTTGACTGATAAAGTTGACTACAGCAAATTAAGTAGTATGCCAACACCAGTTTAATGTGCATAAAATTAGTGGCCTTTTGCTCCCTGCAAGTGGTGGTGGGGCTTCAAGGGTTTCAAGATGAAAAGAATAATAAAGAAATAATAGTCTGCAATATGTTATAGTACACGAATTAGGGTTGTGCTTAGCGAGTAAATGTAGTAGTCGGCTGACCAGGGCAAGAAGGATAGCATAACAATTATTCACGTTTTATTTATTTTTTTATTTATTTTTTTCTCTCTCCTTCCCGTCTTTTTTTTTTTCTCCGTTATTAAGATTGATGTAAATAAATGCAACAGTTACAAATATAGATTTATAGTAAACCTTGGGTAACCCTTGGGTAACAGTTACAAATACAAATTTAAAATAATAGCTTGGGTAAAACAAAAAGGAAAATATAAAAAATTAGGTATAATTAATCTATTACTAAATATAATTAAAAAGTGAGAGGGGGGGGGGGGAGAGGAAATGTGTATGATAGCTTTTTTTTGGTTTTGACATTTGCTACTAGCTTGGCCTCGCATTGAGTGGGTCGTTTTACTCACGCCCCCTGGCCGTTACCGGAAATATGGGTATCCCTGAGCAGGCCATTAATTTATCCTTTTCAATAAGGGTGTTTATGTACTTGATGGTTTTTTTTTTGGTGGTTTTTCTTTCTTGGTTGTGAATTTTATTTTTTATTATTTGAAGTCAAAGTATTGCTGGTTATTCTAGTTTTCTTTCTCTCAAGCGGAAGCACAGCATAAATATTAGGAATGCACAGGTAATTAATAGTGACTTAGGCCCAAATATGCTAAAAGTTTTAAGTGTTCGAAAGATGCAACTGAAAATAAAAACACATAAAAAGTATCTATGGATACAAGATTTAGAATATTTAACATGAATGTTAATGGATTAAATAGTCCACATAAGAGACGGTTGGTGCATCAGGAATTCAGGAAATCTAAGGCAGCTGTAATATGTTTACAGGAAACACACTTCAGATCTCAAGAGGCCTTTAGATTAAAAATAAAAATAAGACAATACCCACAGGAATTTCATGCATATTCAGCTAATAAAACTAAAGGAGTAGCAATTTTAGTACATGCAGATTGGGGTTTTCAAGTGAATATACAATATACAGATGAGGCGGGACGGTTATTAATATTAGTGGGTTTCTTGAATGGGATTGAAATTACATTGGTCTCTTTATATGCCCCAAATACTTTCCAGATACAATTTATAAAGGCAGCATTAAAAAAAAAAAAAAAAATTTAAATTGCGTGTGGGCCATTTGATAATATGTGGCGATTATAACAGAACTCTAGATTCAACACTGGATATTTCTAGAACAGAAGAAAAAAAGCCCTATTCCCTTTGCCGTTAGTAATAGTGAGAAACTAAGGAAATTGATCAATAATTACGATCTATAAGACACCTGGCGTTGTCTCTATCCATCGGGTAAAGATTATACGTTTTATTCTTCTGCACATATGACATACTCAAGGTTAGATATGTGCATAGTAGATAAACCTACTTTGAATAATATATTAGAAGTGCACATCGGCCTTAGAACTTGGTCAGACCATTCACCGGTTATAGTTACATTTCAAGCTAAAGACCCGGGACGGGGAATGGGGTCGTGGAGAATGAACGAGGCAGTGTTGGACGATGATAAAAAAAAAAAAATTTTAGAAGCTAAGGAGGCACTTAAATATTTTCAGGAAATTGACAAGGATGATATAGCAGCCCCCTCGTTATGGTTGGCACAAAAGGCTGTAGTGAGGGGCTTTTTTTTATAAAATCAGGGGCTAGCAGTAAAAATAAAATGGATGCTGAACGTTTAAGATTACTTCAGGTACTATCTAAATTGGAAGGGAAAATAAACTTGAACCAAATAGATTGCATGGTAGTCAAATAGCTAAAGTAAGTAAGGAACTCGATGTATTGGCATTAGCAGAAACAAAAATATATGAGAGCATTAAAATTGAAATGTTATATTCACGGCAATAAAGCAGGAAAAATGTTAGCTAAAATGCTAAAAACAAAAATCCCCTATATGATTTTGATGAATAATTGTAAATTATTTAACCCAAAAAGATATTGTAGCTGAATTAGCAAGTTATTATAGGAAACTTTATAATTTAACGGAAGACTCAAATATATTACAGCCTTCTAGCTCTGAAATAGAGAACTTTTTGGAGGAAATATATCTTCCTAAAATTTCAGTGAGTCAACAACAGATGTTGGCGGAGCCATTTACAGAAGACGAAATAAGCAAAGCTATATTGGCTCTTCCCAAACATAAACCACCAGGGCCAGATGGTTTTTCTAACTATTATTATATCAAAATGGAACCGATCTTGACACCATTTCTTACGAAGCTTTTTAATAGCTTTAAAACACCAAGTGTGATACCGCCGGAATTGTTAGAGGCATTTATAGTAATCCTTCCTAAGCCTGCTAAATCACCAACAGAATGCGGCAACCTCAGGCCCATTTCACTCCTAAATGTAGATATAAAAATATATGCTAAAGTATTGGCATCTCGAATAAAACTGATCCTATTGGGGCTTATTTCAGAGGAGCAAGCTGGTTTTGTTTCAGGTAGACAAATAGAGGATAACACAAGACATATTAATCTTATAGAATGGGCGAACACTAATAATCACCAAGGGATTTTGCTTGCTTTGGACACTGAAAATGCGTTTGATCGTTTGAATTGGGGTTATATGGAGCATGTCCTCCAGAAATACAATTTCCCACAATCCTTTGTGAAAAATATTATGGCATTAAACTCAAAACCATCAGCGAAGGTTTTATATCCTCTAAATTTGAGATCTCAAATGGAACACGCCAGGGGTGCCCACTTTCCCCATTCATTTTTATAATAACCTTAGAGCCCTTGATTAGACACATAAAACAACTTGCTGGTATGTGTGGGTTAAAAACCCCGATAGGGGAACAAAAATTAGCTCTTTTTGCGGATGATGCACTTTTATTTGTATCAAAACCTAAAGAATCATTACCATATTTAGTAAAACTGTTGGAAAGATATAGCATGATCTCCTATAATAAAAATAATGTTAAAAAAAAAAAACCCAGGCGTTACCGTTGGGTGTACCTAAAGCAGAGATAAATCAATTAGCAGGTACTTTCTCGTTCGATTGGCGCAAAGATTTTCTAACATACCTGGGGATAAAACTTACTAAAACAAGCTCTCTCTTAATTAAGCACAATCATATTCCTGTATTACATAAATTAAAGGACCACTCTAGGCACCCAGACCACTTCAGCTTAATTAAGTGGTCTGGGTGCCAGGTCCAGCTAGGGTTAACCCATTTTTTCATAAACATAGCAGTTTCAGAGAAACTGCTATGTTTATGAATGGGTTAAGCCTTCCCCTATTTCCTTTAGTGGCTGTCTCATTGACAGCCACTAGAGGCGCTTGCGTGCTTCTCACTGTGATTTTCACAGTGAGAGCACGCCAGCGTCCATAGGAAAGCATTATGAATGCTTTCCTATGTGACTGGCTGAATGCGCGCGCAGCTCTTGCCGCGCGTGCGCATTCAGCCAACGGGGAGGAGAAGAGGAGGATCGGAGGAGGAGAGCTCTCCGCCCAGCGCTGGAAAAAGGTAAGTTTTAACCCCTTTCCCCCTTCCAGAGCCGGGCCGGAGGGGGACCCTGAGGGTGGGGGCACCCTCAGGGCACTATAGTGCCAGGAAAACGAGTATGTTTTCCTGGCATTATAGTTGTCCTTTAAAAGATCAGCCAAAAAACTGGGGGGCTTTAGGGATATCTTGGTTAGGGCGTGTACATACAATTAAAATGATGGCCTTACCCCATAAATTGTATCTTTTTCAAACTATTGCTATGGCTGTGCCAAAAAAAATTTCAACATATGTTTAACTCGTATATATATGGGAAAAAAAAAAGCCAAGGGTGGCAGCTAGGCTTACAGAGCTTCCATATCTACAAGGGGGATTGGGCATTCCTAATATTATTAAATATTATCAGGCATCTATGTTGTCCTATGCTTTGGCAGTACTTTTCAGTTTAAATTCACCAGTATGGTTAAAACTGGAACAAGCTTGCGCTAAACCCTATTTAATAGAAAAGCTTTTATGGAAGACCTTAATGAATGGGTCAATAGGCAAAAACATGCTTTCTATGACAAAATTAATGCTCTATCATTGGTCAAAATGGACTCCTAAATTGCTAAAAGGTGTAAAGCTATTAGTCTTAGCACCATTATATGTAATAAAGTACTTTATATAAGATTTAAATTTGAATACTTGGGAAACTAATGGCATTAGTAAAGTGCATATGTTATATAATGTAGGTAGGGATCAAATCGTATCCTAGTTTGCCGGCAGTGTTTGCCCTTCCAAATAAAGAGGTATTTGCGTATTTAAGGATCAATAATTTTTTGTTAGAAAATAAGCTGTCAAAATTAGATATAGCCTTAGTGACTTGGTTGGGTAAATTCTGTCTGAACCCTAATATGGAGAGTAAACCTCTTTTAATATGCTATAAAAGCCTTTTATATGTAAATGGGGAAGAAAAGTTGCCTTATATGATATTATGAGAACGAGACCTATTAAAAACCTTTGATCTATTCCATTGGTTTAAAACTATAAAAATCACTAAACAAATATCTAACAGCCTTACATATTGGGAAGCTTATAGCAGAATATTAATGCATTGGTATTTAGTTCCTGCAAAATTGTCTCGAATGTATGAAGCTACCTCTGGCAGGTGCTGGAGGTGTCAAAGGGAGACGGGAACTTATTACATATTTTCTGGGAATGCTCTCGTCTTGCAGTGTTTTGGAACGATATTAAATTATTAATTCAAATTTTAATGGATACAATGATAACAAATTTCCCGGAGTTCTATCTTTTACATATATACCAAGATTGGTGTTGAATAAAAAATAATGTAGTTATTCATATATTAATCGCTGCAAAAATAAGCATTGCTCAAAATTAGAAAAAAATAATCCAAATATCTTGGAAGTGCAGGAAAGAGTAGACTAGACGTATCAATATGAGAGAATAGTAAATAAAATAGAAGGAAGAGAAGGTGGCCATGAAAAAGCATGGCAAGATTGGTTAGTATATAGGTGTATGGTATAAATAGAGGTTATAGCAAAAGGAGGGATAGACTAAAACAGATATGAGGTTAAAGCGTGTACATTATTGCATATTAATAAATAACTGATAGGGTATGACTGCAAAGCTGAAAGATTTAAGTAAAAAAAAAATGTTAAAACTTAAAACAGGATGAATATGCTGGGCATTCTGCTTGTGAGTAAGAACTAGATGTCAATGTCAATTATTTTTACTTGCACACTTGTATGAGTTGAATATAAGGATTACAAATGAAATTAAGGCAATAGCAAAGAAAAGCTAAATTTTATTTATGTATTATTTTATTTAATTTCATGTTATTGTGTTTTATTATTGTTTATAATTTATGTTTTTTTCTGTGCATGTAAGAAATAAAAAAAATAAAAAAATAACATTGAAAAATTGCAAAGGGTGCTTTAACTCTGCATGTCGGACTCCTGCTCAAGGTAAGATCCCTGACAGTCTCATTGGAGTCTTGACAACTATATAGTACATCTAGATTTAGATATGTATATAAAGAGATTTTTCACAAACCGTTTTCCTTTGATGATTATACAAAATATACTTTCTGATGTTTTGTCCATTCCAAAAACAATGAATCACTTCTCGAAACAATGTCAATATAAAGACAGATATTGATAAAATTCAGACTTTCAAAAAGCAGACTGCATCTCATACATTTGGGAGTGGGGGTTACATGAATCTGTACTAGGCTGTCCAGCAATATCATTGATTAGCCACTTAATAACCCAAATAACTCAAGACAAAATTGAAGAAGTAATATAATAAAGTCACCAGACATATTAGCTCCATATTGCAAATTAGGTAATCCAATAAAGTCACCATACATAAGCTCCATATTGTAGATGACAGAGCACAAAATAGGGATTTAAAAATGGCTATTAAAATATGACCCATTCCACAACTGAGTGTACATAGGGTTTATTCGAAAGGTACAAAGTATGTGAAAATACCCTTAGAGTGAAACAAATTGATACAATTATTGTACTTGACAATATCAGCTTCCCGAAAAACACACCAGGGATACACAGAAACCGTTTTGATTCTTTTTTTTGTGTGAGGAGTTTATGTTTTTGTGATGTTTATGCTTGCGATTTTTACTAGCTACCATATATTAGGGGTGTTATGTGTGTGTTTAGGTCTATATCCGCTAGACAAGTCAACCCCCAAAACAACGTGCAACTTTTGGACCTAGACTTTGCCTGCAGACTCATGCGCTTACAATTTGGCCCTAGCAAGCAAAAGTAAACAAATAGTCCAGTTTTATATAAAATAATATATGCTTTTTTTTCTTTTCCTTACTGTATACTGTTATGTGATAGGTTAGACGATTAATAAGATGGTCAGAGTATAAATGAAAACATACAAAACAGCGTTTAGTTTACTTTTTTTGGTTGATAGATGGAATGCATCTCTCCAGTCAGCTGTGTTTACACATAAATGATACAATACTGCAAGCAGTAATATCATCTACCAATTTTCCTGAAATCTGTGTATAAAATGCAATTAATTAAGTAGGAAAGCCTTATTTTCTTCTCGGCCATTTGTTAACTTTATTTAAAGCATATAAGCCTCTAGATGTGTTTTTTCCCCCCCATGCTTAAAATGTTGACTTCTAAACCAACATATTTTTATACACTGGTGGCCAAAATTGTGTAAATCTTTTGGAAAAATTGTATTTATGCAATCTGACGACTCATCAATGAACAGGATACCACCTTAAATGAGGTGATACAACTCCGACAACAGGCATCACAACAATAACAAATGGCCCATCTACATAGATATGTAAAGGTCTTAGATAACAGAGGTTGCAGGAATAATCTGTGCATTAGAGGAATGCCTGAGTCGTCAGGGCCCGAAAACATGAGTTTCCTCACAGTTATATTTAGCAGAATCCTAGGAAGACCTGAAGATCCCAGAGTTGCCTTCGATCATACAGCCTAGATTGTTATTCTCCGACATTCCTAGAAACATAATTTGCAGGATCCACTATTTTGCCTTCAAAGAGGACCTGCTAAAGAAGGTTCAAACATCAGTTCCAAATATGTACAACAACCTCACTATCTATCAGGAACTTTTGTGGTCCACTCTTCAAGCCAAAAGAACAAAAAGATCCCTCACTTAAGACTTGAATGCAAAGGATGTAAAGTACCAGTGGGGCTTCCCTCTCACCCCAACACTTTATTATGGGGGTACATATTATATAATAACTAACCCTGAACAAACATCCAAGATCATTAAAAAAATTGAACATACAGATACCCAATATACCTGCCTTGCATAGAGCCATACAAGGACAAGCTAGGCATCAACTTGGGTTTTCAAACAGTTTTCAGTTGTTCACCAGTGACGTTTCTCCAATGTTTTTCATCTCCTCACCTCTCCCATCCCTGGACTAACTGCCTGGTGTGTTGCAGTTGGTCCTTGAGACCTGGCCCCAGATGGGACTCCCTACTTCTACATCTAGCACCTGGGTGTTGTTAACGTCCTGACTGATGGTAAATGAAGTCAAACTTGGCTCACATTTACTTCTGTGGTGGAGTCCAAACTCTTTCGTTCATTCCACATTACCTCCGGCAGCAGAGTCATGCACCAATGAAGGACTGGGGTTCTTGCTCGCACAACCTAATCTGCCTTAGTTTTTAGGCCTGCAGATTCATCATGAACACGGGGTGATACTCTATTCTTGCTGTTGGCCTCTCTAAGAAGTTCAGCACTGAGCTTGAAAGGTTCGGAGATGCAAGTGGGGGGGAGGTTTAGGTCTCGCCAGGGATGGCAATCAGGATTGTGTGACCTAGGAGATGTTTTTCTGATTCAACCGATCAGCAAAAGCCTTTTTTGGCTGGGCGCAACCCAGGGTGCCAGGGGAACCTCAGCTCACCTGAGTTAGATCTCAGGGCTGACCTTAATCCAATTGACAACCATATCAAAATAGTCACCCTATAGGACCTCGGTCTCATAATGCTAGGCTACAGTTATTTCTGTATTCACTATATAAGATAGCCTCTGGCAACTTTCTGACAAGTCACTGATCCCCCTCCGCTGGAGATCTCCCAACGTTCCCAAAGTAGAAAAATGGAAACAAAGTGAAGGATATTAAGCAAATTGAGGAACTGCCGTTTCATTGAACACATGTGCCCAATTTGTTGAGATGTGAATCGTTGGACACTACTACTACCACCACCACCACACTCACCAGCACAGTTGTTACAACTATTGCCAGCATATAAAACACTTCCAACCGAACTACTAATAATAGGATACAACTCTCTCAGTTAACAGACATTTATTTTATCTAACTTCATTGTACGTTCTCCAAGTTCATGATGTTGACAAATCAAATTCCCATTTATGTGTAAATTGCCTGACTTTCTCCCTCTTGTTTTAGGTCTTATGTGTCATCATTTACGGATGCACTCATATTGTATACACTATTTATGCTTTGATGTTAACCATAATGATAATCTCACAGCTTTGTACCAAAAAACTTTATACATTACTCTGTACCGAAAATATAACCAATAAAATGCCAAAAAAAAAAAAAAAAAGGAATACATTTCACTTGAATAGATTGGGGCCCCTGACAAGAACCCTGGACTTTAACAACTGCTCAATTCTGAATTCTCACAATTAAACCTGAATAGAAAACTTGATGCATAATAACCAACCTCGAAAAATCTAACGCTAAACATTTTTGTCTTCATTTTGCAAAAAATCATTTTATTTTTAAATCACACCATTTGCCTTCCTACAGTTTCACCCTTTGTCATAGCGCAAGTGTATGGTTTGCTGGCTGTGTAATACAGGCACTCCTCACTGAAAGACCAAGTCCTGCTCCTACAGGATGCTTTTTTTGGTACATCTAACTCATCCAGGCAGCAATTCTTTCATACCAGATTCCATCACAACCAATAACTGATATTCTAGTCTCATCAATTCAGATGACTCTTTTCCATTGTTCCTCAGACAAATTAACATGGTTTGATTCCCAGTCTAATTTCTTCTTTCTTTGTTTGGGAGATAGAAATGGTTTTTCATATCCAACAATCCTAGCACTAATTTTCAAACACAGTGAGACAATTTTTAATATACGGAGATGATTTTATTCTGTCAATTGAACACAGGTTTTTTTTTATTTTTCCTTCACTATATGCTGTTGTTCCCTGCCTTTCCTAACTTGGTTTTGAATTGACAGATAACTCCTGCGCAAAGTAGAAATATCTCCTTTGGCTAGATTTTCTTATAAGTGTATAAACAGAGCAGTATAACCTCGTAAAGGAGTCAATGCTTTCCTATTGAGATTTTGTCGACGCTGGAGGTCCTCACATAACGTGAGGAAGTCCAGTGTCGTTTAACACCTTAAGGACGGAGCCAAATGTACACGTTGTGAACAAAACAAAATGTAAACAAAACCTGGCATTTGCGCTACATGTCTGTCCAACCGTAATTCACCTCTTTCATAGTAAATGCACCCACCCTTATTATATATCATTTTATTCAGGGGAAACAGGGCTTTCATTTAATATCAAATATTTAACTATGAAACAATTTAATATGAATAAAATGGGAGAAAAGATTTTTTTTATTTTTTTAGTTCTACATGACATTTTAACTGTCAATGTCATAATACAGTTTGCTTTTACTGCAATAAAATACACATATTTGTATTCAGCGATGTCTCACGTGTAAAACAGTACCCCCTATGTACAGGTTTTATGGCGTTTTGGGAAGTTACAGGGTCAAATATAGCACGTTACATTTGAAATTGAAATTCGCCAGATTGGTTACGTTGCCTTTGGGACTTTATAGTAGCCCAGGAATGAAATTTACACCCATAATGGCATACCATTTGCAATTGTAGACAACCCAAGGTATTGCAAATGGGGTATGTCCAGTCTTTTTTAGTAGCCATTTGGTCACAAACACTGGCCAAAGTTAGCGTTAGTATTTGTTTGTGTGTGAAAAATGCCAAAAACGCCAATTTTGGCCAGTGTTTGTGACTAAGTGGCTACTAAAAAAGACTGGACATACCCCGTTTGCAATACCTTGGGTTGTCTACTATTGCAAATGGTATGCCATCATAGGGGTAATTTTCATTCTTGGGCTACCATAGGGTCTCAAAGGCAACGTAACCAATCTGGCGAATTTTAATGTGAAAAAAATGAAACGCAAGCCTTATATTTGACGCTGTAACTTTTGAAAACACCATAAAACCTGTACATGAGGGGTACTGTTGTACTCGGGAGACTTCACTGAACACAAATATTTGTGTTTCAAAACAGTAAAAAGTATCGCAGCAATAATATTGTCCGTGTAAGTGCTGTTTGTGCGTGAAAAATACAAAAAAACGTCACTTTTACTAGCGATATCATCGTTGTAATACATTTTACGGTTTTGAAACACTAATATTTGTGTTCAGCGAAGTCTCCCGAGTAGAACAGTACCCCCCATGTACAGGTTTTATGGCGTCTTGGAAAGTTATAGGGTTAAATATAATGCTAGCAAATTACATTCCCTTAACTTTTGGCATGGGTTGTCAGGCAGGTCCCGCTAATTGTAATTAAGATACCTAATTATGTAAACATATTACATAAATATATATGTAGAATATATATAATTTTTTTAAAATATTTTTATTTATATATAGATATATATAGTGATATATACGTATATATTTATGTATATAGATATATATTATTTCGTTCTACATGTATTTTGATAAATTTTATTTATTTTTAACGTATTTACATATTACATTTTTTTATATTATATAGAAATATATATATAACAATAATTATATATATTTAATCAGTATCAGTCGCATATATATATATATATATATATATATATATATATATATATATATATATATATATATATATATATAGTAAAATACACCTAGACAGTGTATGTGTGTATATATATTTATTTTTATTTTTTTTTACACTTATTTTAATTTTATTTTAATTTATTTTCAGCCAGCAGGGGGACCACCTGTCATTACAGGCAGCCTCCCTGCTGGCAATGCTGCAGCCAGCTATACCGGCCATGTGATTGTGAGGTCCTCGCGGGGGGGCTGAGGAGGCAGGATCCGCCGCGGGGGGGCTCCCTGGGAGTCGCCGGCGACCGGGTAAGTAGGCAAAAACCGTAGGGCGTACTATTGTGCCCGGCGGCGTTTAGAGCCGCCTAATATAGAGTGTAATAGTACGCCCTCCGGTCTGAAGGGGTTAAAGCATCTATAAGACAGCCACTAGAGGAGGACTTAACCCTGCAAGGTAATTATTGCAGTTTATAAAAACCTGCAATAATTACACTTGCAGGGTTAAGGGTGGTGGGAGTTGGCACCCAGACCAGTTCAATGGGCAGAAGTGGTCTGGGTGCCTGGAGTGTCCTTTTAAAGGGCAAAAATTTGAGAAGCGAAACAGCAGGGGAATGTCCTACAAACCAAAACTGCTTCATCAAGTTGTTTTTGAAGCCTATAGTGTCCCTTTAAATAACGACCATCCCTTCTCCGAACTCTTAACTGACCCACCTTTTTTCCTTCTTTAATGTGTCAAATAATATACATAGATTTCATAAAACTAGTCATTACACTAGTAATATATATTTCATTACACTGAGAAAATTCTATTTTGATGTATAAAACTACTCTCACCTTTACCAGTTTTCCAGTAATTTCAGGCAAATTCCCAATTTTTCTGTTATCAAGCATTCTGATTTCATAAGACTGGCCTAGAAGAAAATGGCAATCAATGGAGACATTAAAACAAACAGTGGAAAAGCCAGACACAATAAAGAATACATGTAACATAGTATTTTTAAAACCCTGTATAAAATGATTAATGCGAGGCGTAATCCATTAATTGAAAGGAGAACCATCAATTCTCGAGAAAGATCATAGAACATCACATATAACGTTCCTTTTTTTTTTTTAGGACATGCCCTTTTTCCTTCAAATTTCTAGCAAATGATAATTCAATTCAGATAACTGGACAAGTATTGCACATGAGAAGGAAAAATAAAAGCATTGTTTAATTTTCCATTTCTTCTGTACGCTGATTGCCAGGTGCCAAATCACAGCGCTTAGATCAGAACAATAAGTGACAGGGAGCTAAAATGGAAGAGGTAAAGGAGATGAAGATTTCAACCATTTTTATATTTTACAACACTGACTTGCTGACCATAGAGAGAAGTAAATTGGGAGTCCCCCCTTTGAAACAGAATCTTTAAGTTTGTTTACGGTATCCAAATTCTGCATTCACCAAAGCACAAATATTTCGTTCAGTATATCTTTAGTGATATGTAGGTGTTTACCAGGCAGCAAAATGATCTGCTTACTTTTTAGGAAGAGATTCAATACTTCCTAATTTTCACAAAAGTTTCAATATACTGGCTGTAGAAGTTTTCAGAAAAGGTTTCAAAACCCAAGGCAAAGGTGTTCAGAAGATACTGTCTTTTTTGCGGTGTGTTCAACCACAATTTCCACGTTTCTCTATATACTTTTTGTTTTAAGGACAAAACAGGCTTTAATTTGATGTGACATACAGCTCTGAAAAAAAAAAAAAAGGCCATTCCAATTTTCTTTTCCCCATGAAATTTGAATTTATACATGTAGAACAGTCATTCGAGGGGCGCGGTCTGAACGCCGAGGTACATGGTCGCATGAGCGCTGAGCTCCAGCCCTGACCGGGAGACTACGGGGTATAACGGCAATACATTACCGCAAATGGCGTCGAAAAAGCAGCGCAACACGACGGGGAACCCCCCCGCGACCGACCAGCCATCAGCCAAAACCTCCCTGAGGAGATTGTTCGGCGAACAAACAGACCCGCACAAGCGGGACAAAATGGCGCCCACTGCACATTTGCGCGGCAGCCAGCCATCAAGCCCGACAGCCTCGGACGGATCCACTGAGGATCAAGTGCATTACTACATCAACTGCCCTCCAAAACAGATATAGCAGCTATGTTCCAGAAGTTGGAGGACAGCTTCAGCGAAAAACTCCAGGCGGTCAGCGCAGATGTAAAGCACCTTGGAGCTAGGGTACAGGCCATGGAGGAGGAAATGGAAAACGCTGATAAGCAATGGGCTAAGTCATACACCACACAGGAGATGCATGCTGCAGCAATAAGGTACCTGCAGAGGCAGCTGGAAGATGTAGACAACAGGGGGCGCCGAAATAACCTGAGAGTGAGAGGTATACCAGAAGGCGCTGAGGGAATTACTGAAAATCCCGTTCAAATCCTCAACACGCTATTCAATCGTATTTTGACCAGACCCCCTGATACAGTCATTGCCTTTGACAGGGCACACAGGGCTGCTAGGCCCAGGAACTTAGCTCCGGATAAACCAAGGGACATTACATGCCGGATTCACAACTTTACCCTTAAAGAGGAAATATTTCATAAAGCCCGCCAAAATAAAAATCTAACAGTGGATGGTCACATGGTGACGGTCTTTCAAGATCTCTCACCCTCTACACTACTGGCGCGACGAGCACTGAGACCCGTCACACAAGCCCTGTTGGAGAAGAAAATTTAATTTCGCTGGGGCTTCCCGTTTGCACTGATTGTGAATCTTCCGGAAGGGACTCATGTTATTACCACACCAGCGGAGGTCACAGGATTTCAGAAAGCATTGAACCTGCCGATATCTGCCGTAGAGGACTGGACAGGACTTAACGGGATCATGACCAAGCAAATCCCACAAAAATCTAAATGGCAAAAGACCCCACGGAAGAGACGAAGGCAAACCCAGCCTCACGCGGACAACACCGCACCCTCCAGGGAAGAGCCTGACTGAGAAGCTCTACGGTCGTATATCATAACTATATAACTGTTTATATTGCCATATAATTGCACTAAGCTCACAAACTCTGATGTATTAACCTACGTCTCACCATGTTGCCAACTTTAGTTATACTTTAATATGTATTTTACACACTACTTAAAATTGTTTTATTGAAATTGCCATAATCAGGCCCAAAGCCTTAAATGATATATGTCTGAATGTTACGAATGACTATAGACGCTAAAGGCCCGGTCCACAGGGACTTAATTATTAACCACGCCAACCCCTGACCCACGAGTCCGTCGGACAAGTTGGAAACGGAGGCTATTAGTTTAGACCAGACATCCCAGTGGAACCCCTGAGACCACCCCGGTCAGCCACCCCGACCACCACCCCAAAAGAGGCGCCCTGCAAACACTTGTGGACACGATGGCATTACCCACAAGTCTAGCGCCAATCTCAACGCACGATATGTATTTGCCATATCGTACCGATGTATATAGTTTATGTTTATCCCTGGTTCACCTTCCCAAAACCAATCCTGCCTATTTAACCCAAACGACTCTCGTGCTAGACAACGAATGTTTTGACTCACCCGATATGATATTGTCCCATAGAATGCTAAAATGACCCGGACTAAATTAATGTCCCTGAATGTGCGGGGACTGAACTCTCCTATGAAGCGCACTATGCTGGCGCAGGAGATAGATAGACAAGGAGCAGATATAATTTTATTGCAAGAGACCCAACCTTAGAGGGGACTTTCAACCGAAAATACGTACTAAAGGCGCCCACACAGCATACTACAGCAATAACGCTCACAAGAAAGCCAGAGGGGTGGCAATACTTATAGCGTCTAGTGCCGCCTTTGTGAAGTCAGATATTAAAATTGACCCCAAGGGCAGATATGTGTTCATCAAAGGAGTCTATAATGGTACACTAGTGACAATAGCGAATATCTACGCTCCTAATGCAGACCAAACTCCCTATATCCGTTCCTACTTGACCAAAATGGAGGGATTTGCTGAGGGAGTGGTGATAGTGGGGGGGACTGGAATATGGTACTTGATCATTCAATTGACAGCTCCTCTAGGGCCACAGACACTAGACGCCACCAACGACTCTTGCTCTCAAAGCTGCTCCACTCACACCAACTAGTGGACTGCTGGCGCATACTACACCCACAGGAAAAGGACTACTCCTACTATTCACAAACAGCTAACAGTTACTCTAGAATAGATATGTTTTTCATTAGCCACAGACACCTCCCCTTACTGAATGAAACATCCATAGGGAAAATCACATGGTCAGACCATGCCCCAGTGTTCCTGACACTCACCATCCAAAAAGAACCTAAACCTGCCTCTCACTGGCAATTAAACGAATCTTTACTAGATGACCCCAGGGTACTGGTAGACCTACGACAGACTATGAACAATTATTTTATTGAAAACAGAAACAATGGGGTATCGGATTCATGGGTCTGGGAGGCCCACAAAGGGGTCATCAGGGGCACTTTCATTAAGTGGGGTTCTAGGATTAAAAAGGAACGATCACGTAAAATTGATACCTTGACAGAGGCCATACATGTAGCCGAAACAAAACACAAACAAGATCCCACTAGCGACAATTTCCAGACCCTGACTGCCCTACGCATAGAACTAAGATCGTTATTAGCTGTAAAGGCATATAGATCAGTACAATTGACAAGGAGCACTTTCTACGCTCAAGGTAACAAGAGTGGGAAACTATTGGCCAAAGCTCTGAAAACTAAACAACAGAGATCCTTCATTGACAAGGTCTCAGACGGCACAGGGAAGGCATGTAACACCACCGATGACATAGCAAAGGCATTCAACGCTTTTTACTCAAATTTATATAACCTAGCCCCCCCAAATGGCCAACTCCACAACCTGAGAGAATATGTCACTGCACACCTCCCACGCACTATCCCGGCCGCTGACTCACACACGCTAGATGAACCGTTCACGCAGGAGGAGCTACTCGCGACCATTAAGTCCTTACCGAAGGGGAAAAGCCCGGGCCCAGACAGGCTCACGGTAAGATATTACCAAACATTAACACAAGAGCTATCCCCTCACTTTTTACACACATTGAATGGCCTCAACCACGACACGGTGCTTCCACCCCCCATGCTTTGTGCCTCGATTACTATCATTTCTAAACCAGGCAAAGACCCCACAAAATGCGGCAGCTATAGGCCCATATCCCTTATAAACCTAGATCTCAAATTGATGGTGAAAATGGTAACAAACAGGCTTAAACCGTTACTGCCGAATCTGGTCCATCCAGACCAGGCCGGCTTTGTGCCGGGACGTGAAGCCAGGGACAATACCACGAAAATCTTAAATGTTATACATGGAGCAACTATCAATAGAACACCAACACTCTTAATGGCAATAGATGCTGAGAAAGCCTTTGATATGGTAGACTGGTCCTACCTGTTCACAGTCCTGGAGGTCCTGGGAATTGGCCCGAGACTTATGAACTGGATACAGACTTTATACAGAGGCCCCTCAGCCAGAGTCAGAGTAAACGGCCAACTATCTACACCCTTCCACATTACAAATGGCACACGCCAAGGCTGCCCTCTATCTCCCCTATTATTTGTCCTAGCCACGGAACCATTCCTAACAGCGATTCGGTCTAATACCGACATACACGGATTCAGGTACCATGGAGGCGAAGTGAAAGTCTCTGCATTTGCGGACGACGTTCTGTTTACACTCACAGATCACATAAAAACCCTACCTCACATACAGTCGGAGATTCAAATTTTCGGATCGCTATCAAATTTTAAAATCAACGCGGATAAGCGCAGGATCAGTGTCTTAAAAATGATGGTCCTGCCAAAAATACTATATATACTTCAGGCCCTGCCTATTCCACTTCCAGGGACATTTTTTAAACGAATGAAGACTATCTTCGTTAAATATATATGGGGAGACAAACCGGCAAGACTTGCCTTTACCACACTGGCGTCCACCACGGACAGGGGGGGCTTGGGATTACCTCACATATATAAATATTATGTAGCAGTCTTACTTACCAGACTAAAAGAGTGGACAGACACAAGTAAGAAAAGATCGTGGTACGATCTAGAACAGAGCTTTGTACCGGTCCCTCTTAAGACCCTCCCGTGGCAAACATGCCAACTCAAACACCTAACCCCCTCATTCACAACACGCTCACAGTCTGGAGACGACAAAGATAAGTGGGGACTGTCCCCTGGAATCTCGAGATTTTTCCCCACAGCCTATAATCCTGACTTCCAGCAAGGACAGGGAGGGCCCTCTCTTGCCCGCCTCACGGGAACGCACTCACCGGACATTACTGAGCTACTAACTGAGGATGACCCACCTACATTTAAAGATAGACAAGTAACACAGAGACACACCACCCTCATAGACATTATGAGCAGAGCACAGCTTAAGGGATTCCTGACGAGACACGTCCTCCCCCTCTGGACCCGAAGAGGAGATACACACTTTGAACTCCTTTGTGGCCCAAAGGGCGACCGTAAACGGCCCTTATCTAAAATATACCGTATCCTACAGTCGGCAGACAGGGACCCTACGACTCCCACATTCCAACAGAAATGGATGACAGACCTTCACATACATCTCTCAGACAAGGACTGGTCTAGTATTATGGAGACAGGTCTCAAAACCTCGATCAGTGTCACGCGTAAAGAGACCTTCTATTAAAACGGATTACCAGATGGTATAGAACACCAGCCGTATTACACGCTATATGCCCTTCACTTAACAATATCTGCTGGAGATGCTCAGCCGGTAGAGGGGATATGTTACACATCTGGTGGAGCTGCCAGGACATTCAGCGTTTCTGGCAACTCATAATCTCAGATTACAAAGATACTAGCACCAGCCACCCGCCTAGCAGCACCCCAGGTACTGCTTGGCTGGCCACGCACATTTAGAGAACCAAACAGGCAACACTTATTGCACATTTTGCTAGGTGAGGCAAACGCCCTGATCCACTGGTCGATAATGGGGAAACGTAATAGACACCTCAAGACTTGGGAACCCTGGTAGAGTTTTGGACTCATTCCAGGACATAACCGTCCAAGAGACAGCCCCGGGCGGGACTGGACCCTTAGCAGTCAGATAAGAGGAGCGAGTCATGAAACAGCAAAATATGTTGAACACGGGAAGAGTTTAAAAGAAACTACATAATGACCACCCCGACCTAGGCAGGGTCACCATCCCCCTCCCCACCCCCCCGCAATCCCCCCCACTAGCTGTTGATCTTTACGGTTACTCACACAAACCACCATACCCGGGACGGTAAGGGGACAACTTCTTGCTTTCCGACCTCCACTAAAGGAAAAGTGTACACCTTTTGGTATAACCTTGCTGTAACCCCGGACAAGTTTTATGCCGGGACGCTTATGTGTGTGATGTGAAATGTATCAAAGATGCACTGTTCATGTAACCCTGAAATGTGATCAGTGAATGCTCCCCTTTTCTTTCTGTAACCCATTTCCTTGTACACGAGAAATAAAAACCAATTTAAATAAAAAAAAAAAAAAAAAAACATTCTTCTATTCTTTTATTTTTGGCACTCATTAGCTCCAGTGGAGTGGCCCCTCGCTGGAGCTATAGTTTTGGCTTTTGGGGAAACCCCTATTTTTACAAAGTGCATGTATACAATGCTACACTCATAACCGGTCGGATATGTTTATTTATGCATCGGTTTGAAAGGCTACTTTGTATGATTGGAGCCTGTTTAATTGTATCCAGCTGCTATCGGCGCATTTATTCCTTGCTGGTCTATATTTAGCTACTTTTGTATTCATGGTCTTGTTTTTTCGTTTTTAATTATTTGTCTATAATAAATGAGTATTATATGCGTGCTATATCTCTAAGTAAAAGAGTGTGTTTTTATGTACAGTTTGGATTTTGGAGTTGTGTCTAGGATTTTAGTTAAGATTTTCATTGCTGAAGTGGTGGACTTTATGATATTTATTGAGTACCTTTATTACTGGAGCGCTCACACTATTTTATTGTTGATTTTTTATCATTAATAGTCGCTCATATTAGTTGTGAAGCTGCCTACTTTATTTTTAGTGATATGGAGTTATTTGTATCTACTAACAACTACCCTCCCGATTTGAGCTGTTCTCTGTATTGGTATTAACACTGCTGCCTAGTAACACCTCTTGATGCAGTCACTCAGGCAGCCACTAGAGGTGTAACCTATTTCAGCACTGTGAAAAACTTCCCTTTTTCTGTGAGTTTACCACTAGTTTTGGGACCAGTCTGCTTGCCTCTTGCCCTGCAATATACCATGCCCCAATACACTTTAAAAGGCTCCATTCATGTAATGTAAGTACTTTTGTACTCCACAAAGAAAGACCGACTGCTTTCCCTAATTACCTGGAACTGTTTTGGGCATGAAGCCAAGCTTACAGCCGGTCAAAAAGAGACTTCCATTAAACTTTTGAACCCCTGCTCTGATCTGGGTGATTTTTGGATATGTTGTTCACCCAAATCAGGGCTATCCAGATGTAACAATTTTGGGGGTATGTTATGTTTTGGGGTACTTTCTGAACTTTGTGAAAATGTGTTTTCTCTGCATGGAGATAATGGAGTTACTTACAGGACTTTACTCAATTATCTCCCAAGCAGAGGGGAGGGATTTTGTGTTGTACATGGGCATGTCACAGACTGTATGTATGTTCGGATTGGTTTATGTCCTTTGTGTTCCTGTGCCCCATCAGGTCCAGGGGGTGTTCCTCTGGCCTGGAGAATTGTATAAAAGCCAACCTGAACCATTAAGGCTCAGATCATCTTGCACCTTCATGATGTCTTGGCTCATGTTTGGGGGATTGGAGAACTACATTCTGGGGGATTGCTATAATCACTAAGCTCTTGTAAAAACTTGTTCCTGCTTCACTCTCGAGACCAAGAGAGACCTACCCACTGGTAGCTGGATCCTGGTCTTGGGTCCATTGTGGGTGGAGGACGGCGAGACCCCAACCAAGCTGCGGCGGTTCATGGATTTTACAGTGGTTATGGTGCTTCAACACAGCGCTTATGGTACTCATCAGTACTAGGAAGCAGCGAATTAGATGTACTTGGTCAGGGTGCCTGGCGGTCCGTCACAAGCACCTAGATTCAGAGTTTCCAACGCTTCCCATAGAGTCATTGATTGCGTTTTGCCGCATATATAAGTTCTGAGACAGTGAGAGGAGGATGGAAGGAAAAAAAAAAAGATTCAATTAGTGGAGGGGGGTGGGAGAAAGCAATTTGCCTCTTGCAGGTGCTTAAGAAAGACATTTTTATGTACAGAACTGAACTTAAGCAGCCCAGATCTGTCCAGTCAAGGTTATAAACCTAAGTTCCTGCCTCTGAGCCACTTCAGTTCTTGTTTTGGCCTGGAGCTTATCCTTGCCGTGTCTCCAGCACTGGGGGCTGGACTTAACCTGTGACTGCTCCTGTCAATCATGGTTCACCTGTATATTATCACTGATTAGCCAGGTATAACACACTGCCTCTCCCTGAGGGCAATGTCAGTTCATTGACTCTGGTTCACGTTTGCGGCTCCTGTTTCTACGTATCCAGATTGTGTGTTCTCCAGTTTGTTCCTGGTTCCTGACCTTGGCTTGTTGCTTAGATTTTTCTGACATCAGGCTTCGGCTCTCCACGACTACTCTTCTGATTGTACTTGCCCGTACTGCGACTTGGACTATATCTCTGCACATCCTCACATGCCAGGTGAATTCTAACCTGACCACCTTGGTCTGTATTTATTTGCAAGGGTGAGCATATATCTCTGCCTACCAGACTCCCACCTCAGGTAAGATCATGACATAATGAACTGACCATTATGGAGTCTGCAGAGATCTGTAAGCTGCACACCTCCCTTGCTCAGCAAGTATCAAGCCTGGCCCAGACTGTTTTGGAGCTGCAGTGTGAAGTTCTGATCCTTAAAGGCACAGTACGCCCAGTCCCGGAGCCATTCGTTATGATGCCTGACCCCATCCTGTTGCAGCGTGAACCTATCGCCAGGGACTTGCCTTGTCACCGTGAGACTCCAGTGGACAGGGAGGAACCCATGGAGATCGGAATTATCCGAACTAGGTTGCATACTAAGGAACGAGCCCATAGGAGAGTCCATTGCCTGTGTTTATACTGTGGGGAAAGATAGCATTTCATCTCTCTCTACCAAACTCGTCCACCTAGGCCAAGAACTCTTCTATTGAGTACCCTACGGGCTCGTCCTGTCATCCCTGGAACACAGTCTGGAAACTGCCTAGGTTGCTGCCAGACCTGTCCACGCTCCAGGACACAAAGGGCACCCAGACTATGGTAAACAACATACCCTGTACCCCTGAGAAGTCTCTACCTTGTGCTCCTGAGACATATGCAACTCCTCCTAAAGATACTTCTAACACTTCTTCCTGCCAGCTCAAAGAAGAATTTCCTTTTGGAATGTACCTATGCCTCTAATGGTACCATAGTCCGAAAAGAGGACATACAAAGGTTCGAGATGGCGTTGCAAGCTAAGACCTCCACACCTGTAACCGGATCATCAAAGACCTTGACCTATCTCCAGCGGTACCAGAAGCTGGTACTATGGAGTCCCATACTGTTCAGGGACTCCGCTCTGGGTACTTCGATTATAAGAACATTCTTGCTGTCACTCTGTCACTCTCCCCTCCAACACCCCCCCGTCCCCCGTCACTCTCCCACACAAACGCCCCTCCTCTCCCCCCCCACCCCCTCAAATAAATAATTTAGCATGATGGGGGTTGGAAACGTTGACTGATTGCCAGCAATCATTGACAGACTTCAGCAACCATCATATTGCCTCTGATACCTAAAGTAAAATGTCAATAAATGTATATACTGAGAGTCCTCTGCAGCCTCAGGAACCTTCATTAAGGAAAGTGCCATCATCTTTATAGTGGCACTATACCTTCATACCTTAGAGAGGGGACTTAAGCTCTAAACAAGGTGAGCTCAATGCCTACTAATTATTTTATCTATTTTATATCATTGATACTACGCATTGGCGGCCCATTTCTCTCTCTCTTCTTTCCTGGAGGGTATATTGGATTGAAGGAGGGGTGTGATGCTGCTCTAAGAGCACAACAGCGATCTATACAGAGCCAATATCTACAGTATCCATTAAATGTGAGTGAACTGACCAGAGTCATCTTACTTGTTGTATATTACCATCATCACTATATCTGTATCTTCTTGTCTTTTATGTACCTCCGTATACATCTATATATACACACACGTGGGGTAAGTTACCTCATTGCATTTTATTGTACTTTAACGCAACACTTAGGTATAAGTTAACCTTATACCACAAGGCGGTGATAAAAGATAGAATAGTTCTCAATTCACAGTACTGAATGAATGTGAATTAATTTACAGTCCATGTTCCATGAAGCTAGATATAAAAGGATGAGTGGGTCCACAAACAAAAACACATACAATATTTAACAAATCAACCAAGCAACCCCAACTTACTGATCTTTGCATAACACAAAAGCACAATCAAAGAAAATACGAGATCCAACAATTTTTCTTCAAGCAGTCAAGATTAGATTAGGCAACACTATACAGGAGTACCATGTAGAGTAGACAAAATGTTTATTACATCTTGCAACATTACATTTCTTTTCTACACAGTACTTAAAGGACCACTCTAGGCACCCAGACCACTTCAAAAACAATGATATACAATAGTGAATGAATCCCTAAATATATAGGTGCTACTATCACCTTTGTGGGCCACACAAACCACAACAGGAAATAAGTGAATAATAACAAATAGCAAATTGGTGAGAGCACACACAATAAGAAAATACTACCCACACTGCAGTCAGTCAATATAGAGAGAGCCACTTAATTAGCTGGCTCAGACTTAATGCCTTGAATACACAGCAGGACCTCCACTGGGAACTTATTTCTTTATGTGTAAAACCTCCAGGACGCAGAGTAGCAGGGGGTAAAAACACTTTATTTTTCAAAAGATCTTGAAGTAAATAAAAACAAATATATAAAGTAAATTGAAGTCCCAAAGTAAGAGTCCAGTCACTTGACGCGTTTCGGCTGTTTGCCTTCATCCGAAGTGATGTCAATATCCAAGGTATCTTGAATAAAATACTTAAATTTGGCGCACTTTCCTTCCTCCATTGGAGTTACGTCCGTCCGCTTCCGGTCCTGACGTCGGAACGCCTTCTGCGTTATTACGTTCCGACGTCATACGTCATTTCCGGTTCCGGTCACATGTTTTGTAGTCCGGACGTACCAAAGCATATGTGGCGTCTTTACGTCACATTTATAACATAACAGTTCCTTACTAGCTAGTATTTTTAATACACATTAATTTAAAAACCTCATTTCATATATTTCTATATATAATTTAGAAAATAATAAAATAAACCTATTTATATATAATCTGCATATGAGAACTTACATAACAAGGCATAAAAAATAGCATCATAAATATTTAAAAAACAATATAATACCTAAATATAAAATACAGATGCTGGAAAGAAAAGGGAGCACAAAAGAAATTAGAATTATATAAATTGGTTAATTTCAAAGACAACGTTCAGACCTTGTGGTGTCATTGTATCCAACTCAAATATCCATCTCATTTCTCTTAAACCCAAAATGTGATCACTGTCACCTCCTCTCCAATGGGCTTGGGTAATATCTATCCCAATAAAATCTATTCCATTTGGATTTCCATCATGGGCCTCTAAGAAATGTTTGGATACATTATGTCTAATACATTTCCTCTGTATGTTGTAAATATGTTCCCTAATTCTCGTTTTTAAAAAGCGAGACGTCTTGCCTACATATTGAAGTCCACAGGGACAAGTCAGCATGTATATCACATTTTTGCTAGAACAGGTAATAAACGATTTTATTGGTTATTCTTTTTTTGTGGCAAGTGAAGAGAATTTTTCTATTTTTCTGTTCTTTTTAATTCTAAATTTACATCCTCTGCATACCCCACAATAGTGAAACCCTTTGCTACCCTTTAAAAAATTACCTTCTTTTTGAATTTTTTCTTTTTCTAAAAAACTCCTCTAAAAATGGAAACACTTCATGGTCTTCCTTGAGTATATGCCAGTGTTTTTTGATCATTTTCCGAATTCAGAGAATTCAGAGAGGAGGAGATAGAAATCAGAAAAAAAGAGAAGGAACGAGAACTTTTGGAGGGAATAGAAAGCCATGAACAATCAGAAAATTTTAGGATTTTTCATTTATCTAAAAAAAAAAAAAAAAAGTATAAATAATGCACATATAAGTATTTTTTTTAAAAGGTTTTAAATTTGCTCCCTGCTGCAATTTAGACAAATTTGAATCATAAAATTCCTATGCCAGAAAAAAAACATTGGAAACTAATAATATTTTTAATCATACTAATCTTAAAAAGAAATCCTCTTGACAACCCTCGAGGATCAACTAAGGAGAAACAACATTAAAATACGAGGCATACCAGCGGCAGTAAGTGCTGAAGAACTCCCGCATTATATCCGGAGGCTGTTGGCCGCCTTACTCCCACCAGCGGTGGCCAAAAAAGTCACACTCGATGGCATATTCCGACTCACCAGCATGGCCAAGCTCTCCACTCCTGAGCCACGGGACGTAATCGTCCGCTGCTCCTCTGCGAAGGACAAAAGCCACATTATGGCGGCAACACGTGGTAAAACCCCACTACAGTTTGAGAACTCCTCTCTAAATTTCTTCCATGACTTAACTAGGGCAACGCTGCAGTGGCGCAGACAAATGGGCCCCATCACGACTCACCTCCGGTCCAAAGGAGTGCCATACCGCTGGGGAACGCAAGGCACCTTGCTCATACCCCGGAACGGAATGACCCACACGCTCCGCGCACTCACGGAGGCTCCTACACTCTGCGCAGCCCTCGGGATAGAAACGCCAGACCTCAACAACCCTGGAAGCACCACGAACAGAACATGGAATCCTGAGAATGTGATCCCCTTTGTGCCACGACATGGAAGCCTCTCCTCAACAGAGACTTGACAAGAGTGAAACCTCCGGCTGGAGCCCACTGACACACAGAAACGGGACTAAGCACTGGATAAACGCACTGTATATATATTTGTTGTTCCCATTAGCTAGTTTCCTTGTTTCCCCCTACCACTGAACACACCAGAGCCATCCAAATGATAGAGGCCCAATAGTCCCTGCCGGTGCAGATATGGCGATACATCCCCCCCCCCGCACCCTGCGGTTACAGGGTAACACACCCGGATAACCCCGAAGCTCACAACCACTCATGCAAGCAACAGCCATCTATCACAACATACCCACCGGTAAAGCTAGGACATCACCACACAAATAGCGGCAGGTCGTACTCTCTCCCACAAACCCCCATGCACACAGCCACCACACTACGCAATGCGCACCTGGATCTACCCTCTAGGGCAACGCACCCCAAGTGGGAGATCATACCCCCTGCCGACTTGACCAGACCGTACTCACGGTACCCTACGCCCCGTAGCAGCGCCGCAATGTGGCAGAGGGCACATAAGAATGGAGGAGACAAGCTTGCTCACAAATGCACCACAAAACGTAGGTGACATAGTTGTAAATTGGCCCAGTGTTTGCCTATACTTTACTATTGTTTCTTGTTTTTATCGTTTAGACAGCTGCCTAGACAACGTTAATTATGTCTCCCATGCCCTCCACCAGGTCATTGCAGCCACAACGAGAGGCCAGCTTTTGTGGTTAACCTAATACGCTACCTACTGCGCTAAAGCACCAGCCCATTGCCCACACACTGACAGAGATAGGTTAAGCAAGGGGCTAGCTGCCTAATACAGTGAGCAGGAACAGTCTTGTCTTGTTATTGATTGATGTGCTGTCACACCACTGGCTATCATCTTGTTCCCTTTGATAACCCCCATATAAAAATGTGCATCGATTTCATATGCCACCTATGCAACTGTTATACTTTGCCAACCTCAATGCATGTCATGGCTGTTGGGGCATGACATGAATGCTTGTTGAATTAAGTCATGCACGAAAAAATAAAGAATTTAAAAAAAAAAAAAATAAATAATAAAAATAAAAAAATCCTCTTTTTACCCTACGAATTGTAAGTCAGATGTCATGAGAACATTTGAAAAATAATGTTCTAAAGATATTAAAAAGATAAAACCTATTAAAAGATATCAAGAAAATATAACAAGAGAAGAAAAGATAGCACTGAAGGATTTAAAAGATGATAAATCTATAGTGATAAAACCGGCAGATAAGGGAGGTGGAATCGTCATCTGGTAGAAAGACAAATATTTACAGGAGATTTATAAACAGTTAAAAGATGATAAGACTTATAAAGAATTGCCAAATAATCCACTTCCACAAATTAAAATTAAATATAAAGAATATTTAGATGAAGGTCTTAATATAGGCATCCTAACCAAGAAAGAATATGATTTTTTAGATACAAAATACCCCAGGATACCAGTTATTTATGTTTTACCAAAGATACATAAAATCGTAAATGACCAACCAGGTGGACCAATAGTCTCCGGAATAGGATCAATGTTGTCACCTTTATCACAATACATAGATCAATTTTTACAAAAAAATGGTAATTAAATGTCCAGCATATTTAAAAGATACAATGAGTTTATTGCAAATTTTAGAGGATTTTAAATGGCACAACGATTTCATTATGGCAACATGTGACGTAAGTAGCATATATACTATAATCCATCATGAAAGATGTTGTGAGGCTATTAGGCTTTATTTAGAAAAGTTGAAAGATATGAACAACCTCCAGGTGGATTTTTTTTAATTAAAGGTATTCATTTTATCCTTAAAAATAACTTTTTCTGGTTTGAAGATAAATTCTACCGTCAGACCCAGGGTACGGCTATGGGGACCAGATTTGCCCCAAGTTATGCTAATCTTTTTACGTCCTTCTGGGAAGAGAAAAATTTATTTTCCAGAGAGAACATAGGGGCGAATCTGGTCCTATATAGACGATACATAGATTATATTTTTATTATTTGGAGGGGTAGTAAGGAAACTTTAGAAGAATTTATTTTATCTCTTAATAATGATGTTTTTAATATTAGTTTTTCTTATGAAATTAACCCTCAACTGATTAACTTTCTGGACTTAAATATTTATGTAGAAGATAATCTGATCAAAAGTAAGACCTTCTTCAAAACAGTGGATGTTAACAGTTTTATTGACCTAAGAAGCTGTCATTTTAAACCATGGTTGGAAAATATCCCAAAGGGGCAGTTTTTTAAGGATGAAGAGAAAATGCATGGAGAAGGAGGAATATTTTAAACAAACATATTTTAAAACAAAAATTATATAGAAAGGGTTATGATGTCCGTCAATTAGAGGAAATCGAAAAAGAAATTGGCGAAAAAGAAAGACAACCCCTTTTGAAATATAAAATTAAAAGAAAAAAATTAGACAAATATAAAAGAAAATATACCTTTAATTTTAGTTCCAATAATTATGCTTTATGGAAAATTATCAAAAAACACTGGCATATATTCAAGGAAGACCATGAAGTATTTCCATTTTTAGATGACCAGCCAAAATTTTTTTGGAGGAGCAAATAATTTTAAACAGATTTTAACAAAAAGTTTTTTAGAAAAAGAAAAAATTCATAAAGAAGTTAATTTTTTAAAGGGTAGCAAAGGGTTTCACTATTGTGGGGTATGCAGAGGATGTAAATTTAGAATTAAAAAGAAGAACAGAAAAATAGAAAAATTCTCTTCACTTGCCACAAAAAAAGAATAACCAATAAAATCGTTTATTACCTGTTCTAGTAAAAATGTGATATACATGCTGACTTGTCCCTGTGGACTTCAATATGTAGGCAAGACGTCTCGCTTTTTAAAAACGAGAATTAGGGAACATATTTACAACATACAGAGGAAATGTATTAAACATAATGTATCCAAACATTTCTTAGAGGCCCATGATGGAAATCCAAATGGAATAGATTTTATTGGGATAGATATTACCCAAGCCCATTGGAGAGGAGGTGACAGTGATCACATTTTGGGTTTAAGAGAAATGAGATGGATATTTGAGTTGGATACAATGACACCACAAGGTCTGAACGTTGTCTTTGAAATTAACCAATTTATATCATTTCTTTTGTGCTCCCTTTATGTCTTTCCAGCATCTGTATTTTATATTTAGGTATTATATTGTTTTTGAAATATTTATGATGCTATTTTTTAAGCTTGTTGTGAAAGTTCTCATATGCAGATTATATATAAATAATGGGTTTATTTTATTATTTTCCAAATTATATATAGAAATATATGAAATTAGGTTTTTAAATGAATGTGTATTAAAAATACTAGCTAGTAAGGAACTGTTATGTTATAAATGTGACGTAAAGACGCCGCGTATGCTTTGGTACGACCGTACGTCCGGACTACAAAACATGTGACCGGAACCGGAAATGACGTATGACGTCGGAACGTAATAACGCAGAAGGCGTTCCGACGTCAGGACCAGAAGCGGACGGACATAACTCCAATGGAGGAAGGAAAGGGCGCCAAATTTAAGTATTTTAATCAAGATACCTTGGATACTGACATCACTTCGGATGAAGGCAAACAGCCGAAACGCGTCAAGTGACTGGACTCTTACTTTGGGACTTCAATTTACTTTATATATTTGTTTTTATTTACTTCAAGATCTTTTGAAAAATAGTGTTTTTACCCCCTGCTACTCTGCGTCCTGGAGGTTTTACACATAAAGAAATAAGAAGTTCCCAGTGGAGGTCCTGCTGTGTATTCAAGGCATTAAGTTTGAACCAGCTAATTAAGTGGCTCTCTCTATATTGACTGACTGCAGTGTGGGTAGTATTTTCTTATTGTGTGTGCTCTCACCAATTTGCTATTTGTTATTATTCACTTATTTCCTGTTGTGGTTTGTGTGGCCCACAAAGGTGATAGTAGCACCTATATATTTAGGGATTCATTCACTATTGTATATCATTGTTTTTGAAGTGGTCTGGGTGTCTAGAGTGGTCCTTTAAAGGACCACTATAGTGCCAGGAAAACACACTCGTTTTCCTGGCACTATAGTGCCCTGAGGGTGCCCCCACCCTCAGGGACCCCCTCCCGCCCAGCTCTGGAAAGGGGAAAAGGGGTTAAACTTACCTTATTCCAGCATTGGGCGGGGAGCTCTCCTCCTCCGATCCTCCTCCTGGGCAGAATGCGCATGCGCAGCAAGAGCTGCGCGCGCATTCAGCCGGTCACATAGGAAAGCATTCATAATGCTTTCCTATGGACGCTTGCGTGCTCTCACTGTGAAAATCACAGTGAGAAGCACGCAAGCGCCTCTAGTGGCTGTCAATGAGACAGCCACTAGAGGAAATAGGGGAAGGCTTAACCCATTCATAAACATAGTTTCTCTGAAACTGCTATGTTTATGAAAAAATGGGTTAACCCTAGCTGGACCTGGCACCCAGACCACTTCATTAAGCTGAAGTGGTCTGGGTGCCTAGAGTGGTCCTTTAAGTACTGTGTAGAAAAGAAATGTAATGTTGCAAGATGTAATAAACATTTTGTCTACTCTACATGGTACTCCTGTATAGTGTTGCCTAATCTAACCTTGACTGCTTGAAGAAAAATTGTTGGACCTCGTATTTTCTTTGATTGTGTTTTTGTGTTATGCAAAGATCAGTAAGTTGGGGTTGCTTGGTTGATTTGTTAAATATTGTATGTGTTTTTGTTTGTGGACCCACTCACCCTTTTATATCTAGCTTCATGGAACATGGACTGTAAATTAATTCACATTCATTCAGTACTGTGAATTGAGAACTATTCTATCTTTTATCACCGCCTTGTGGTATAAGGTTAACTTATACCTAAGTGTTGCGTTAAAGTACAATAAAATGCAATGAGCTAACTTACCCCACGTGTGTGTATATATAGATGTATACGGAGGTACATAAAAGACAAGAAGATACAGATATAGTGATGATGGTAATATACAACAAGTAAGATGACTCTGGTCAGTTCACTCACATTTAATGGATACTGTAGATATTGGCTCTGTATAGATCGCTGTTGTGCTCTTAGAGCAGCATCACACCCCTCCTTCAATCCAATATACCCTCCAGCTTAATGAAGTGGTCTGGGTGCCAGGTCCATCTAGGGTTAACCCTGCCTGCTGTAAACATAGCCGTTTCAGAGAAACAGCTATGTTTACTTGAGGGTTAATCCAGCCTCTAGTGGCTGTCTCATTGACAGCCACTACAGGCGCTTCCGCGCTTCTCACTGTGATTTTCCGCGCATGCGCATTCAGCCGAGGAGGGAGGAGAGAGCCCGGCGCTGGAGAAAGGCAAGTGTTTAACCCCTTCCTCATTCTAGAGCCCGGCAGGAGGGGGACCTAAAGACCATATAGTGCCAGGAAAACGAGTTTGTTTTCCTGTCACTCTAGTAGTCCTTTAAATACATAGACAAACAATGTACTCTTAAAAGAAATTGCCACAAGCTACAGAAATATATTACAAATATAAAAATTTTTAAAAAGGAGGTTATTTAACTTGAAAGTGTCCCTAAGTGGATCTTTGTGCAGTGATGAGCTGACCCTTCTCATACCATGATGAGAGACTCTTACTCTGGTCTATGGGGAATGATCTTATTCAATAAACTTTGACCAGCAGAAGTTTATAGAATAGATAGATTATTCCCCATTTGTATTTCCAATTTTTGCATAGGATGATTGGAGCTATAAAATAAAGTAAGAGAAATACTGTTATAGCGGTTATCGGTTTATGAACAGACCAACTAACAGTTCCTAAACCAAACTGTGTTTTACTATTTGCAGAACAAAAGAAATAAGAGTGGTTTTGGGTGCTCTAAATGCCACACACTTTTTAAAGTTTTACGGTGCTTAGACTCCCCTTTAAAAGTATAACAAATCCAGTATGCATTTTGAAATCATTAGATAGACAGATATAAATTAAAATAAATAGCAATGTGCATACCAACCTTGGTTTAGGTATGTTAGAGTTTCATCATGCAATTTAATTGCAGGAGATGTTGCCGTGCATAATATATATTGGAACGGAGGATGCTTGGGCTCATTTTCTGGTGGAAGGCTTGCATCTTCTTGCTTGAATATGGGAAGTGCAAGTACATCACTGGAATAAAGTGTATTATAATAAAAAATATGAACATTTCCAAAATCTATCTGAAAATCTACATTCATTAGACAAATATATATATATATATATATATATATATATATATATATATATATATATATATATATATATATATATATATATATATATATATATATATATATAAAGTACATATATGTTAGAAACATTTTGTATTGGAAACAAAAAATGGTCAAAAAAGACTGGAGAGTGAATGGATGTTGATCAGATTTGCCATAATTAGTCCTTTCTGTTCTAGGCACACTTCTATAAAAAAAAAAAAATGTATTTGGGCAGGTCTATTTACATCTCTCATTCATGTTCACATTGGCTTGTTTACAATGTTAATACAAAATGACAAAGCAATGGTTACTAATACGGATTATCTCAGCCAATCCAATGCTTACCCCATAGGAAAACATTAAGAGGCTAGTGTGCATGCACGTCATTCAACAGAGCATGGAAACACCAAACCTCTGTCCTGTAACCAATCATTCCATGATCGCAACCAAGAAGTCCATATAGTGGCTGTCCAAGTGACAGCCACTAGATATGTCATTAAGTAGCAATGACACACTCGCAGTACTTACACTGCAGGGACAATCTCTTTGCCCCGGAACTGCTGTAGTGACTTGATTCAAGATTGTCTCTTTAATATGTGGAAGAAAATTCCATAAAGTGACACTATAATGCTGAACTTACCTTTCCCCAATCGCTTCCTCTTCTCTCCCTCTCTCAGGATCTGTTTCTCCTTTCTTCTTATCTGATCTAGTTTTTTTTTTTTTTTTTAAATACATAAGGCAAAGAAGGGACTATTTTGTCTTATGTATTTTTCCTATGCTAGACCAGCTTTGACCCAGGGGAGGAGCTAAGTCCATTCCATTTCCTGTGATTTCTCACAATACTCACCTCTCCTCCTGCTGCTTCATTCGCATACAAACGCCGATGAAACTACTGCAGGCAAATTTTGACCGAACAGAAAGGGAACAGTATGTCCATTCGTATTAGTACACAATTCAGTACTTTTTGTTCGGTTCAAAATTTAATTTGAATGAATGAAATTCCGATCCTATTTGTTCCGCAAGTAGATAGCTCCCTTATTCTCACGGACAGAATTATCTATAAGATTAGGCAGAAAGAGACTAAGCAAGTTATAAGATCTTCCAAATCACACATAGAAGAGAAAATAGCAGTGTCAGTAAAGGGGACAAAACATTTTTTAGAAACAAATGAGAAAAGGAAAGTAAAAAGGATTATTTAGATTAAAAACAAAAGAAGGAAGGTATGTAGAAGAGGATAAACGTCTAGCTGACTGCCTCAATTAATATTTTTGTTCAGTATTTACAGATAAAAATGAAGGAAAGGGACCTCAGTTAGGAAAAACTACGAGTAATTTGTTACATGTGAGTTTACAGAGAAAGAGGTTCTATTTCAACTGTCAAAAGTAAAGAGAAATTAGTCAATGGGACCTGATGGAATTCACCCAAAATTATTAAAAGAGCTTAGTGGTGTACTAGCAAAACCATTAACAGATTTATTTAACCAATCATTGTTAACAGTAGTCCCAGAAGATTGGAAGTTAGCAAATGTTGTGCCTGTTCACAAGAAAGGTAGTAGGGAGGAGTCTGGCAATTATAGGCCAGCACACCTTACTTCAGTAGTGGTGAAAGTAATGGAAACCATGTTAAAGGATAGGATTATTGAACATCTAAAAATCACATGGATTTCAAGATCAGAGTTTACTTCAGGGAGATCATGCCAAACTAATCTTATTGATTTTTTTGAAGGCATAGAAGGCTTAACAATAAACTGCAATCTTTAAGTTTGGATTCCAATATTGTTGAATGTGTAAGGCAGTTGCTGAGTGACAGGCAACAGAGGGTTGTAGTCAATGGAGTATATTCGAAGCATGGGCTTGTCACCAGTGGGGTACATCAGGGATCTGTACTTGGACCCATTCTCTTTAATATTTTAATTAGTGATATTGCAGAAGGTCTTTATGCTGATAATACTAAGATTTGCAACAGAGTTGATGATCCAGGAGGGATAAGCCAAATGGCAAATGATTTAGGTAAACTAGAAAAATGGTCAGAGTTGTGGCAACTGACATTTAATGCGGATAAGTGCAAGATAATGCATCTTGGACGTAAAAACCCAAGGACAGAGTACAGCATATTTGATACCCTACTAACCTCAACATCTGAATAAAGGGAATTAGGGGTAATTATTTCTGATGACTTAAAGGTAGGCAGACAATGTAATAGAGCAGCAGGAAATGCTAGCAGAATGCTAGGTTGTATAGGGAGAGGTATTAGCAGTAGAAAGAGGGAAGTGCTCATGCCATTGTACAGAACACCGGTGAGACCTCACTTGGAGTATTGTATGCACTACTGGAGACCGTATCTTTAGAAGGATATTGATCCTTTAGAAAGAGTTCAGAGAAGGGTTACTAAACTGGTTAATGGATTGCAGGATAAAACTTACCAGGAAAGGTTAAAGGATCTTAACATGTATAGCTTGGAGGAAAGACGAGACGGGGGGATATGATAGAAACATTTAAATACATAAAGGGAATCAACACAGTAAAGGAAGAGACTATATTTAAAAGAAAAAAAACGCAACAAGAGGACAGTTAAATTAGAGGGGCAAAGATTTAAAAATATCAGGAAGTATTACTTTACTGAGAGGGTAGTGGATAGCCTTCCAGCTGAAGTGGTAGATGTTAACACAGTAAAGGAGTTTAAGCATGCATGGGATATGCATAAGGCTGCCCTAACGAAAGTATTTAGAAAATTTGGCAGACTAGATGGGCTGAATGTTTCTTATCTGGCGCCACATTCTAAGTGTCTATGTATTAGGAAGCCATCTACTAAAAGTCCAAAATTTACTAATAAGTAAAGATTACTTAGTATTAGTTATTAATCTGCCCCTACCAAAAGGAAAAAAGTACCGAATTGCATCCTAACACGAATGCACACTGTTCCCATTGTGTTCAGACGACATTTGCCGGCGGTAGTTTCGCCAGCATTTGAACGCGAATGAAGCAGCAGGAGGAGAGGTGAGTATTGTGGGAAATTGCTTTGACCACAGGAAATGGAGCCGACTTAGCTCCTCCCCTAGGTCAAAACATAGGAAAAATACATAAGACAAAATAGTCCCTACTTTGTCTTACATTTTAAAGAAAACTAGCTTAGATAGGCAAGAAAAGATCCAGAGAGAGGAAGAGAAAAGGAAGAGATTGGGATAAGTCAAGTACGGTATGATAGTGTCGCTTTAAGGGGAGCTTCCTATGGAATATATTTTTTAACTTCAGGGCACTTGCTCATCCTAGATGCACAGACAAAAATAAATACTGATATATCACAAGTCAAACATATGCTTTTTATCAATTTCTTAAATACTGCCTGCTAAGAAACTACTACATAATACCAAGTCGCACTAGATCTAGCTTACACTACAGCATGCTACAATACTTCAGATGTTGGGAGACAAAAAATTATATTTCTAGTTAAATGCGTCTAAATATTAAAATATTATATTAGAAATAAAACTAACATTAGAAATAAGATATTTAGTAGGTCCAAAAAGGGAGAGAAAACTGTGTTTGAAGTGGTTGTCATTTCAATAAGAAAACCTACATAATTTCTAGACGTGTGTAATTATGTTTCCTGTATAATTTTGTGCATTAAAGGGACACTATTCACCAAACAACTTTAGCTTAATAAAGCAGTTTTTGTGTATAGATCAGTACCAGCAGTCTCACTGTTCAATTCACTGCCATTTAAGAGTTAAGTCATTTTTGTTTCTGTTTTGGCATCCCTAGCCACACCTCTGCTGCATGTGACTGACAGCCTGCATGAAAACAAAATTGTTTTATTTTCAGATATAAATTACGTTTTTATCTCCTGCCCTGTAAATTTAACTTCAATCTCACACAGTGGAGTATTAACAGAGCAGATCATCAGATATTGTAAATTAAACAGATGTGACATGCACAGCAACAATCATCAGAAATAGGGATACATGATTTTGCAAGTGCTTTCTCGTAGGGAGCAGCGCTTGTAATTCCTCTCAACGCAGTGCTGACATACCAACAATTTGGTATAAAAGCCAGTTAGTGGAACTCCTGGCTCTTTGATTGGCAGGAATTATAGGTAAAGATACAAGCTCCACTTTGAAGCTCTGTTGTGAGAAATTGGAAAAGAACTGAATCATACAAAAGCATGCATGGTATCCTTGAACCACAAATATTTTAAAAGCTGGTTATGGTGCCTAGCGTGTTCCTTTAAATATGCTATATAGAAAAACTGCAGAATATTATGGAAGGGGTTATTTTGCTAGAAGCTTTCTCTAATGTCTCTTTCCATTTTATTACATATGTGATCGATGGAATGCATGTTTATGCATGGTATGTTTGGTTTTAAAGGGTCATTTTAAAGGACCACTCTAAGCACCCAGACCACTTCAGCTTAATGAAGTGGTCTGGGTGCCAGGTCCCTCTAGGATTAATCCTTTTTTTAAATAAACATAGCAGTTTCTCTGAAACTGCTATGTTTATAATAAGGTTAATCCAGCCTCTAGTGGCTGTCTCATTGACAGCCGCAAGAGGCGTTTGCGTGCTTCTCACTGTGAAAGTCACAGTGAGAAGACGCCAGCGTCCATAGGAAAGCATTATGAATGCTTTCCTATGAGACAGGCTGAATGCGCGCACAGCTCCTGCTGCGCATGCAGCCGAAGAGGAGGAGAGCTCCCCGCCCGGCGCTGGGAAAAAAAAAAAAAAGGTAAGATTTAACCCTTTCCTTGCCATCCAGCACAGCGGGACTGGGACCCTGAGGGTGGGGGCACCCTCAGGGCACTATAGTGGTCCTTTAAACATAACTAAGACAGCAGCTGTAGTGGTATGTTGCCTGGTGGTGACACTGTAACACAACTAGGTTCTTCTCAGTGTCCAGATATCACCATCTTCAATACAATAAAGTAGTATTGTAAGCACCATAACCACTACAGTCTACAATAGTAGTTATGGAACAAAGAGTCCAACAGGGTCCCGCCTGAGCAGCCATCCTGCTTCTGGTGATACAGCAAAAATCGGATACTCATTCAATTTCATCTATATTAATGTTGTGTAACTTTTCCAAAGCACTGATGAGTGTGTTAGCTGGGCGGTAGTTGTTGGGGTTAGGGATCGACCGATTTGGATTTATTTTTAGAACAGATACCGATACTCTGAACTTTCAGGCAGATAGCCGATAATTTACAGATACACTGCACATTTACCTTTTTGGGGAAAAAAAACAAAAACACCTTTTTCTACCCAAATCTACTGTTAACTGAACATGTTCATTATTTAGTTATTTGTATTTTTTTTTTATTAAGGCAAATGCACAAAATACACATGCCAGTCAGAAGTTATGTTTTCATATGTGTGTGTGTATATATATATATATATATATATATATATATTTTGGATGCAGTGATAGTATTTGATTAGTGAATGCATTGTGTTTGTGTAGTGGATACAGGGCACTTTATTTTTTTTAAATATTTAATCTTTAAACCTTTTTAGTCCCCTCTTTGCTTCTTACCTGGCCAGGGAGGGGGGGGGTATAGCATTCCCTGGTGGTCCGGTGGCAAGGACTGTGCAGTGGAGGGCCCGCAGCAAGCTCTTACCTTCCCAGCAGCTCCGTTCAGCTCCCCTGTCTAACTCTAGCTCTGACGGCCGCGAGACTCGCAATATTTAGACAGGGGATCTGAAGGAAAGGTAAGTAAGAGCTTGCTGCGGGCCCTCCATACTTATTTGTTGCAAACTATTGAAGGTTTTTGTTTATCTGCTGCTGTGACTTGTCATTTTTGAATTAAAGATTTATTTATTTTTTCGGTGACGCAACAGATCAATCATTCCCCCACATTTTCCAAGAAGATAGTTCTGTTACATCACACTAAATTTGTTGGTTTTCTGAAATATATGTGGTAAAATAATATATATATTTCCTATAGAGAAAACAAGAAATATAGTCAAACCAATGAGTGAAATTGGTCACTTTTCAGAACATTGAGAAATGTCCCCCAGTGTTTCAGTTTCCCATGTTGTCAATAAAGGGTGCAGAGAGCAAAGATTAGAACAGTGGTTGACAAGAGCCAACTTGGAAGTGTTCAGCTTTAGAATAGTGCTAAATACATGAGGGTGTTGCATTTTATTACCAGAAATCATAAAAACATGGTTATGTATCATTTGTTATTTAGGAAGGATAAGTAATCTTACTAATACATGTATGGAAGTGACAATAACCCTTTCATAAAACAACTGAAATAAATTCAAATGTGACAGTGTATTAAGTAGGCCTTATAAAGTCACAATCTAACCTCATGCTGTAGGCTCCTGCTCCCAACTCTTGTCCAATCCCAGAGAGGCTTGAATCAAAGTCATGCACTAGTCCAGACTCTATAACTTCATCCATCTTCAGAACCCAAGCCATAATATGCTGTTTGCATAAGTTGAACAGTCCAAACACAGCAATTAAGTTTCAGAAAATAAGATATAAAAGGGGGTAATACAATAAAAGTGATTATAGCTTGAAAACCACTGTCTGAAAAGAGCAATTGAAGGTGGAGGAGGAAAATGTGTACCAAGGAGCAACAAAAATGTGAAAGAATTATTCAAAGACAAAAATAGCGTCTAAGAAAACAAACCAGGTTAAAAAACAAACAAAAAAAAACTGGTATTGTCCAACTGATATGGCCTAGAAGCAGAGCACACTATTTGCTCTAACACAAAGTATTAAACAATTCCATAAAGTTTTACATATATGCATAAAAGGTGCCGAGGTTATCTTTATAGAAGGATAGGGATACAGAAATTTAGCTACAGTTGCAAAAAGAAAAATGCCAGTCTTCACTGGCCAACTACAAGCATATAGTCTATAAGAGAATTAAAAGTAAAGGTCCAGAATTAACAAACATCTGTTCACTATCACAAAAAAAAAAAAAAAGTATAAAAAAAAATAAATATAAACACACAAAAGGAGATTTTAGAAACAGTGAGAAGATGCCAAAAACGACATTACATGTTAAACAGATATAACTGATTAAGACAGTAAAATGTGTAATACCAGTAAGATACAATGAATTAAAGAAAAAAAAAAAAAGGTGTAATAAGGAAAGCGACCAGATGTTTGTTACGCT